GTTCGGGGCTTCGGATTTTGGGTTTCCATTTAGGTCCCCCTTATACTCACAGTCCTTAAGAGGGGTACTATAGTCCCAACTAAGGACTGGTAGTATAAGAGGGAACATCCCAAGTTTCCATTTTTAAGCTTCGGGTTTCTGTCTGAGGCTTCGTGGTCAGTTCTCGCCATGATGGCACGTTCCAACCCTAGAACCGAAACCCTACACCCGAAACCCTAAACCATAAACCCTAAACCGTAAGACCCTAAGACCCTAAACCCTAAACCCTACATATGAAGAGTCTTTTTTCTACCAGGGTCCCCCCAAAGACGGACCAGAAATCTGATGCCTGACGACTGGGTGCCAGCAACTGTAACGACCCAAAGCCTAGGGTTTAGGGTTTAGGGTTTAGGGTTTAGGGTTTAGGGTTTAGGTTTTAGGGTTTAGGGTGTGTCAGGAGAGGGCGCGCGCTCGTGTGTGAAATGCCCCGGCGCGCGCTCGCGTTGCTTGTCACTCCACCCCGGCAACCAACACTATACTCCATCAGGGTTTAGGGTTTATGAGTTGATCCTTTTCAGGCGCCGATGCGTGTTTGTTTTGCGGAGCCCAGCAGCAGTGCTATGTAGCCAATTGGGTACCCCCCCCCCCCCCCCCCCCTTCCACCCCTTCCCCCCCTTCCCCCCCCTTCCCCCTTTTGTCGGGATAGGGTGGAGATGCCTCAGAGCTTGCCTTTGCCAGGCTCTTTTTGGGCTTCGCAAGCCCTTCCGAACGTGCTTAAAGCCCCTGCAAGCCAAAGGCCTCTGGGAGGGCTCATTTCTCAGCTTTCAAAGCTATTCTTCGGAGACCTCCCCTTGGCCAGTGGGAAGCCTTTGCCTTCAAACTTACTGTTGCTTAGGAGGGAATGAGGGAATGAGGGCCCTGTATATACCCTTTAAGGGATTATAGGGTACCTCATTCCCCCCATTCCCCACCACCCAAACCTTTGGGGGAGAGCTGCCTGAGCCACCCCGAGGCTGAGATGTGGGTGGGCGGGTTGGGGGGGATCGTGAACCTAGGCACGCACCACCACGCAGCAAGCCTTTGAGCCCTAAACCCTCAACCCCGGACCCTCAGTCCCCAACCCGGAACCTAAGTTGCAGGGTTCTGCAAATTCGGGCCCCCAAGTGCCAGGCTAATGGAGAGCTGAAGCACCAAAGCGTGTGGACCTCGGCAACCTTCAATAAAGGAAGCCCTAAACCACCCCACGAGGAGCCCTAGCGCTGAACCTTAAGCCAAAAAGGGGCCCCCGTCTTGTGCTTTTTTCCTAGGTTGCTGGGGCGCCTACAACCCCTAAACCGGCCCAAAAATGTCTGTGTGGTTGCTGGGTTGAACCTTCTTTTGGGAGTTTTGGGTTGGGGGTTTAGGGCTTGGAGGCCGGTGGCTTGGGGAACCCACGCCCTCATCCCTCAACCCGGGACCCTAAACCCTAAACCCTACACCCTAAACCCTAAACCCTAAACCCTAAACCCTAAACCCTAAACCCTAAACCCTACACCCTGAACCCTAAACCCTAAACCCCGAAACCCCGAAACCCCGAAACCCCGAAACCCCGAAACCCCGAAACCCCGAAACCCCGAAACCCCGAAACCCCGAAACCCCGAAACCCCGAAACCCCGAAACCCTAAACCCTAAACCCTAAACCCTAAACCCTAAACCCTAAACCCTACTGGACTCCCTAAACACTAACCCCTAAACCCTTCTTCTTCGGTTCGGGCTTTCGGAGAAAGGTCTTGGGGTCTGGGGACATAGGGGGTTTAGGGTTTAGGGTTTAGGGTTTAGGGTTTAGGGTTTAGGGTTTAGGGTTTAGGGTTTAGGGTTCAGGCGAGTAAGGCCTTGGAGTTTTTTTGGCTTTTTTGGGCAAGGGCGTAGGCTTTGGGATTGGGATGTTCCCCCTTCTACTGGCAGTCCTTAATAGGGAGGGGGTTACCATCATCCCTATTCAGGACGGCATGTTCCATGTGGAACATCCCAACTTGGGGATTTCAATGGTTTGAGCTGAGGGATTTGGTAGGGTTCAAGGTTTGTGGCTGTTGAGGATTCAGCTCAAGCTGCAGAAATCGTGAGCAAGGTTTTTCGGCCCTCGGCCTGACGTTTAAGTTTAAGGTTTAGGGTGAGGATTTAGGGTGTAGGGTTTAGGGTAGCCCCAAACTCCACACCCCGAGCTCTAGCACAAGATGCAGCTCTGTTCGCCACAGGTTCCTCAGCGAAAAAAACCGAAAATTCTCGGACCACAATGGTCGGGGCCCTTGCCGAGACGTGAAGGTTCTTTGCAATAGGGTTTCGGGTTTCGGGTCTTTTGGGGAGTCTTTCATTTAAATTGCTGTTACAGGGGGGGGGGGGGGGGGGGGTCGCCCCCAAAATGGTCATCCACCAGACCATGGAAAGAGGCTGCCTCTGGGTTTACAGTTATGATTGGGATGTTGCCTGTTGTACTAGCAGCCCTGAACAGGGAATATAGCACCCCCCTATGATAGTCCCTGTAAGGACTGTTCGTATAAGGGGGAACATCCCAAGGATATTACATCGCCCTAATTTCGGGCTATGAGGATTATTAGGGTTAGGGTTCTCAGGTTCTCAAGGTCTTGGGCGCATGTTGTTGCCAATCTGCCAGCTGCTGACGTGGCCCTGTTGCAGAACGCGTCAGTTGCTGACCGAAGCCACATCCCCGAAGCCCAAAACCTCTAAACCCTAAGCCCTAAACCCTAAACCCGAAGCCCTAAACCCTAAACCCTAAACCCTAAACCCTAAACCCTAAACCCTAAACCCTAAACCCTAAACCCTAAACCCTAAACCCTAAACCCCCCCAACCGAAACCACCGTCCTCTGGTCTGGATGGTCCGCAGACGTCTTGCATAAAGCACCAGACATCTGAACAACTAGGCCCCGACAATTTGCAAGGGTGCCTTAAACCCCAAACCCTAAACCCTAAACGCTACACCCTAAACCCGAAACCCTAAACCCTAAACCCTAAACCCTAAACCCTAAACCCTAAACCCTAAACCCGAAACCCTAAACCCTAAACTCTTCTGTCTCCCTGTTGGTTCCTTTCAAAAGGCGCTTGACTCAGAGGGTCTGTATCACCAAGGGAAGCCTAAACCCTAAACCCCAAACGCCAAACGCCAAACCCAAAACAATAAGCCCTAAGCCCTAAACCCTAAACCCTAGACCCTAAATCCTAAACCCCAAACGCTAGACCCTAAACCCTAATCTCACTTCCCAGGTTCTCGTGGTTTGATCACACGGAATTTGTCTGAGGGTTTTGGGGATTGAAAGTGCAGGGTGTGGGGATTTAGGTATATAGATAGGATTTACCCTAAAGCCTAAACCCTAAACCCTAAACCCTAAACCCTAAACCCTGAACCCTGAACCCTGAACCCTGAACCCTAAACCCTAAACCCTACACCTTAAACCCTAAACCCTAAACTTAGGATTTGGGGATTGAGGCAGACATTGTTCTTGTTTGGAGCATGAGGTCAGGGATTTCGGCTGGGGGGTTCTAGAGCTTTCAGCTTAGGGGGCCCCCTGAACCCCCAAACCCCAAACCCCAAACCCCAAACCCCAAACCCCAAACCCCAAACCCCAAACCCCAAACCCCAAACCCCAAACCCCAAACCCCAAACCCCAACCCCCAAACCCCAAACCCCAAACCCCAAACCCCAAACCCCAAACCCCAAACCCCAAACCCCAAACCCCCAACCCCAAACCCCAAACCCCACACCCCAAACCCCAAACCCCAAACCCCAAACCCCAAACCCCAAACCCCAAACCCCAAACCCCAAACCCCAAACCCCAAACCCCAAACCCTAAACCCTAAACCCAAGGCGCCTCACCTCGGGAACAACGGGCAGCTGTCACGCGACGAGCGTGTGCAGCTGTACGGCATCGACTGCGACGACCAGGCCGGCGAATGCCGACCCTGAACCGCAAAGCCCTGGGTTTAGGGTTTAGGGTTTAGGGTTCAGGGTTAGGGTTTAGACCCCATACCCCAATCCCCAAGCCCTACACCTCGCTCTCGGGCCCTTATGGATGTATAACTCGGGGCCCCCCCCCCCCCCCTCCTTTCAAGGGACTAAAGGAGGGACCCTCTTGTAAGGATGCTTGAGGATATATAGGGACTACATAAGGGAAATATAGGGTTTTTTAGTGGAATCAGATTGAGAGTCCTTCCTATCGGTCCCTCCTTATGCCCCTCAAAGGGGGGCTTTTCTCTAAGGGTCCATGTCCCTATATGGTATCTACTGGGGCCTTAAAGGGCTTCCCATGTAGTAACTGTAGGGCCCGAGTATATAAGATTGAGGTCCCTCCTTATACCCCTTACCTGGAGGTTCATGTTACTTATTGAAGAAATAGCGGTACTTACAACGCACTTATAAGCCCCTCAAGTGCCCTAATATGGTTAAAAGTACAGTTACAAGTACAGCTATAATTGGTTAATAATAAACCCTAAACCCTAAACCCTAAACCCTAAACCCTAAACCCTAAACCCTAAACCCTAAACCCTAAACCCTAAACCCTAAACCCTAAACGGTTAAGAAGTGCCAGGAACCTCCAATTCTTTGTTGTGGGCGAAGGGAGGGTTGGCTGAATTGTCAAGGCCTCGAGTCTGCAGTGCGGGGAGGTCTTGACGCGGGGTTTAGGGTTTAGGGTTTAGGGTTTAGGGTTTAGGGTTTAGGGTTTAGGGTTTAGGGTTTAGGGTTTAGGGTTTAGGGTTTAGGGTTTAGGGTTTAGGGCTTAGGTTTAGGGTTACGGCTTAGGTTTCTTTGTAGGGGTTGAGGCTTTGCAACTCTAACCCCTAAGCTCTAGCCCCCTGACCCCAACCGCGCAGTCGCTTTGGTTTAGCGGGGGCATATGGCACTTAGGGGTGGGGCACGCAGCATTTCCCTGGGGGGGGGGGGGGGCTTAAGGTTCAGCACTTTGATGATGGCAGCCCTAAACCCTAAACCCTAAACCCTAAACCCAGAACCCTAAGCATGGCCCAGGTGATGTGGCACGAGTGGACACCTGGTGTGGAGAGCGTGCAAGACCTGGTGCTTCAAAATGTGGCCCTCGTGACCCAGAAGGCCGCGTCAGGGTCGGTTTAGGGTTTAGGGTTTAGGGTTTAGGGTTTAGGGTTTAGGGTTTAGGGTTTAGGGTTTAGGGTTTAGGGTTTAGGGTTCAGGGTTTAGGGTTTAGGGTTTCGGGAAGCCTGTTCTGCACGAAAACCTAAGCCTAAACTTTGCGCGTCCTAAACCACCTACCTAGGATCCTCTACATCATCATCCACTCCCCCAACTCCCATCCGAAAGATTGAACCATAAACCCTGAACCCCAAAACAAGACATAATCGAACAAAAGCCCTGACACAAACAAAATTCAGTTGACGAAGCCCAAAAGTGTGTCCCAAACGCGACAGCGCGTTGGGGGCAGATTCGGTGCTCGACGGCGAGACGGGACCGGATGAACCCTCAAATTTGGGCCCTATACTACTATAATCCCTACTAAGGTACATGAACCATAAGCCCTTTGATGCTGCATTTGGTCCCCAAGGATGTGTTGTGAGTAGAGGGGGTCCAAGCGTAGGTGTTAGGACCCGCAGAAAACCGCAGGCCCTCGCAGCCCCCAATGGCTGGTTGAGGGTTTAAGATTTCGGCTTTAGGGTTTCAGGTTTAGGGTTTGGGGTGGCAGCTGCAATGGTAGTGGGGAAGTCGGCTTCCGAAGAGCAAGGTTATGGCCAGTTCTTGCTGTCGCAGAGTAACCCGGGCTTGAACCACCCTGGAACTGTCAAGCTAGGGTTTAGGGTTTAGGGTTTAGGGTTTAGGGTTTAGGGTTTAGGGTTTAGGGTTTAGGGTTTAGGGTTTAGGGTTTAGGGTTTAGGGTTTAGGGTTTAGGGTTTAGGGTTTAGGTTTTAGTGCTAGGGTTTAGCGTCAAGGCTTTAACATTTCCAACCCAAGATGTACCAAGCGCATAGACCCGGCTAAGTCCCTATAAGACCCTAAGACCCGATAAGACCCGATAAGACCCTAAGACCCTAAGACCCTAAACCCTAAACCCTAAGGCCTAAGACCCTAAACCCTAAACCCTAAACCCTAAACCCTAAACCCTAAACCCTAAACCCTAAACCCTAAACCCTAAACCCTAAACCCTAAACCCTAAACCCTAAACCCTAAACCCTAAACCCTAAACCCTACGACCCTATAAGACCCTCCTAGAGGTGAAGTTCAAGCTCCCGCCGACGAAGCTCGCAGTAAAGAGTTGGGAGGGTTCGCTTACGGGTACGAGCTGGGATCTTGGGAGTTTGGGGTTTAGGGTTTAGGGTTTAGGGTTTAGGGTTTAGGGTTTAGGGCTTAGGGCTTAGGGTTTCGGATCTTGGGATTGTGCCTCATCGGGTTAAAGAGGACCTCATCTTAGGAAAATGTGTGAATATGTTTCAGGTCTAGGGCTCAGGGTTCAAGGATGTTAGGAATATTTGAGACTTTTTTTCAGAGGGATGGACAGGACAAGCGTGACATATTGTACCATGGGGTTTAGGGTTTAGGGTTTCGGGTTTCGGGTTTAGGCCTGCCACCCTACTAGTCCTCAATCCGGCTAGGTTTTGTGCTGTCATTGGACACATATGAAACGGTTTATATTACTAGCCTTGGTGAGTGTATTTTGGGTTCCATATAAATTTTGGTGAGTATCTATACTTGACTAGAAATATAAAACCATACCTCATAAGGACATGTTGAAAACCGATGAAGTGAACCGGATGTCGGTGGATGTTCACACCGTCCGCGCTGTCGAACCTGACCTTCAAGCAGAGTTCACCAAGGAGAAGACTTCACATCAGCGCATGCTTAGGGCATACTGAGATGGTCAGCCCAGATTGCGAAACATGCCGGAACTCTCGGGTATGCAGCCCAGCCATTTGCAGCCATGGGGGCAGCCGCTCACGCGGCCGCAGTCGGTACAAATAACACCACGTGTTGAGGGAGTTTTCGATTTGTGCCCGTGGTGCCGAAGTCTGTATACAAGCAGTTCTGATTCTTGCCACAAGTGCGGCAAGCAAAGACACCCCTGGCAAGCTACCTTTCTGGATGATGTCTTGGAAGGGCAAGTCTTGGACCCTGCCATCAATGCTACTGCCGTGCAAGCCGCGCAGAAGCCCCGTACACCTCTCCGCGCGGTTGTCGAGGAGTCAGGTTCCTCGGTTGAAGGAGTGTTCAGTCTGTTGTCATTGCACGAGGAGGAGCTGCAAGATCCTTTGATGCAGACATGTGTCCTCAGCCGAGACTTTACTAAATGTCCGCATTGCCATGACACATACCAAGCCGATGCAGTATTGTGCCAGCAGTGCGGCCGGCCTCGTGAATATGACAGTGAGGGCAATGAGCCTGGGCCATTGTTGAGAATCATTTTGCATGTTTATGAATACTTAACAACAAGGAAGACAAGCATGATCTTTCTTTAAATAGCGCCCCAGCAATGGTGCAGGAGCTGGTTTATATCCAGGCGGAGTATTTGTCAGTGGCAGATCCGGAGAGACGGGCGAACCTAGGTAGGCCCTTGGGATATTTTATATTTTCCCTTGTGGGGTTTAAGAGGACCACATTTAAATAGGAATACCCTAAACCCTAAACCCTAAACCCTAAACCCTAAACCCTAAACCCTAAACCCTAAACCCTAAACCCTAAACCCTAAACCCTAAACCCTAAACCCTAAACCCTAAACCCTAAACCCTAAACCCTAAACCCTAAACCCTAAAGAGGGTTGTTAAGGGGCCATCCTAGGAAACTGGAGGAGGTGAAGGCAAAGCTTCGGCTGTTGCTGCCGGAATGTCGAACGGATGTGAATCTTGGCACTGTAGAGTGGTAGCCCCCTTGGTTTAGGGTTTAGGGTTTAGGGTTTGGGGTTTACAAGGTTCCCTTGTAAAGCAACCCCCCCCCCCCCCCAAAAAAAAAAAAAGAAAAAAAGAAAGGGTACCCTTTCTGGATAGCATTGGCGGCTGTGCCCAGGAATGCCGTAAAGCCCGAGGCAGCGCCTCACGGCTCCCCGCCAGCCCCCGATGCCTTCGAGCACGAAGGGCCGGCTCACAGCCCTGACTCCACCTTTGCGTTGACCAGCTCGCCGGATCCCTGGGAATGCTTGGAAAGATTTTTAAATGATTTGGGGGGGGGTGCTTGAATTCGTAGGAAGCAGCCTTAGTTGGACACTTGGAAAGAAGTTTAACTGCTAGGTACTTGAACTCCTCAGAAGCAGCTGAAATGACGATTTTTTGCGCTAGGGCTCCAAGTTCAATGTAGGATCGGCAGGGCACGCACTCATTGGATGACACGGGCTCGCTGCCTTGGGAGCAGATGTCCCCAAAGCTGCAGCTTTTTGACCTCTGCCCCTGCGGGAGCCTGGTCTTGCCTGATGGAATGTTCTGTCACCGGTGTGGCGCGCGGAGGGTCGGGACAAGCACCAACCGTGGCTCTGCAGCAGAGCTGGGTTCAACTGAGCAGGCTCTGGCAGCGAATGGTCCCATGCTGCAAGCTCTCAGGTTCTCCGAAGGCCAAGTGACTTCTTGTTCACCTTTTCCAGGGCAGTTGATCGATCACAGCACAGCAAGTGCTGAAACGATTTCGCTCACATGCGATGCTGGTGAGCAGCAATCCAATGAGTCGGACATGAATTGGCTCGAGTGGGTGACGCTGATCACGTCCGAGACGCCGGCGGAAGCAGGGGAGTCGCACTTCATTCGCCAAGACTGGAACTTTGATGACATGCACCTCGCTCCACAAAATCGAACCTGGCCGGGGATGCGCGATGAGGCAACCACTGGCTCCGCAATCCCCACGCTTCCATGCGCTGATGAGCCCTTGACGGGTGATTCCCCGGATCTGTGCAATCTGATGTAGCCTTTTGCAGTGCTTGGAAGCTCTTATTTTGACTTCGTAAGTCTACTTGGTATCCCCCTAGAGATCCTCTTCTCGTGCCCAACACCCAGCTTACGAACCCTACTTACTAAGTCTGTTCAAGCCTGTTCGCCCTGTGCTCGTGGCCGTGGCCAGATACAAGTTCATTTTAACAACCCTGTGGGTGCCTTGCCAGGGTCTACGGTTTAGGGTTTAGGGTTTTGGGGTTTTGGGGTTTTGGGGTTTAGGGTTTGGGGTTTAGGGTTTAGGGTGGGTGTCTTCGAAAATAGGGGTACCCTTTTTAGGGGTCCCTTTGAGCGGAATATATTCTATTTGGAGCAGAACAGGGGTACCCCTATTCTGGGAAAACCTCAAGATCCTGGCACGAAGAATGCTTGTGCGTTTAACAGTCAGTCAAAGCTCCTGGTGCGAAATTTGGCGCTGGGGGCCATCAACCTGCAGCAGCAGAGGCAAATGAGGGCTTCTTGGAGTACAGGCAGGTATGCATCCCCCCCCCCCCCCCCCCGCCTCTAAACCCTAATCGTCAGAACCCTCCCCTCCCGCCCAAAACCTGAAACCCTGAACCTAGACCCTGTAAACGCGAACAGCCCCTTCTAAGACTAAACCCTAAGCTCTATGATCTCCCACAATCCCCAAACAACCTGCCCTGAGGTGGTGGGAGCTTTGGGTTTCAAGCTTCAAGTTTCGGGTTTCGGGTTTCGGGTTTAGGCTTCGAGTGGCATCCTTTTGCCACTTTTTTTGGTTTCAGGTTCCCTTTGAAAAAAACCCAACTCCCAAAACGGCACCCTCATGTTGGCATGGTCACTGGTTGGGATGTTCCCACTGTTGGTACAGGGGGGAACATCCCGAATATCATTCTTAAACCCGAATTAAGCCCCCGACCACCCCAAACCCTAAACCGCAAACCCTAGGCCCTAAGCCCTAAACCCTAAACCCTGAACCCTGATTCCAACATGGTTACTGGGTTGCCTTGCTGAGTGCCCTCGGCCGGCGACGAGAAACCCTAAACCGTAAACCCTAAACCCTAAACCCTAAACCCTAAACCCTAAACCCTAAACCCTAAACCCTAAACCCTAAACCCTAAACCCTAAACCCTAAACCCTAAACCCTACACCCTACACCCTACACCCTAAACCGAGGAAAGAGTTCGACATGCCTTACCCCGAGCCTTTCAAGCTGGCGTCGGGGAGCCGAATTATGGGATTCTTCAGGGAGGGGGGTTCAGTCGAGCTATTCTAGGGTTCTTAGTTTAGGGTTTAGGGTTTAGGGTTTAGGGTTTAGGGTTCAAGGGGCGGTGGTATGTATCCCTCATACTCCCCACTACTCCCGAAGGCTCCCTAGGCTTCGACTAAGGTTTCCCAGGTACCTACTTGAAGGTTCATGGTACTTATTAACCAATTATAACTGTACTTACAACCTACTTATAATACCCCTAAAGGGCCTTATAGGGGTTATCCCAATTGTAAGTAGGGTTATAAGCCCAGTTATAATTGGTTAGTAAGTGCCATGAACCTTCAAGTAACCCCCCCCCCCTTGAACCCCCCTCCCTTAAGAAAAGAACCCGAGGTTGCCCAGAGAGCCATTTTGTACCCCTTAGTGAAGGAAGATGCCTGAACTTATATCGGGATCCTTGAGATGATTTAAGGGGTATTTTCCTGGGTTTCGAGGGGATCCTTGGTATGAGTCAGTGTCTCTTCCTGGTTCGTGATATGGTTTCAGGCATATTCCCTGTTCAAGGCTTCCTGGGCTCTTTGGGTACTTGGAGGTTCATGGTAAACTTATAGCCCTACTGATAACTCTACTTATAAGCCCCCGAAGTCCCCTAGGCAGGTTATAAGTAGACGCATACCTGTGGTGATAACTACCCATGAACCTCCAAGTAGAGTCTAGAAAAATCATGCTCCAGGTTCCTCCAGTTGGGGTATCACTTGGCAAGTTCTCTTCTTCTTCAGCTCTGCCAACAACACTCTTGTTCAAGAGAGAGAAGAGCAAAACCCTAAACACTAAGCTCTAATCCCTAAACACGAAACCCTAAACCGTAAACCCTAAACCCTAAACCCTAAGCCCTAAACCCTAAACCCTAAACCCTAAACCCTAAACCCTAAACCCTAAACCCTAAACCCTAAACCCTAAAAATGTGGAAGAAACAGTACATTAAGAAGATGCAGGTGCCAAGGTTTTTATAAGGGCCATGTGAATGTGCTGTGTCCTGTCCTTCTAAAATTTTGGGTTGAGGGTTTAGGGTTTAGGGTTTAGGGTTTAGGTATAGGGGTCCAGGGCTCCTAGAAGCCCTCCAGTGTGTTTTTTGTTAAGGAGCGCGCGCGCACGTGCGTTCTTTAGGTGGGGTTGAAGATATTGCGTGCTTACTTGCGCAGCTTTTATGCAGACATAGGTCCCATGGGAATCCCAATGGCCCTTTCAAAAAACCCTAGTCTCACTCCTACGGGGCGTCCCTTCTTTTCTTGAGTCCTTAAGTCAGGGATTGAGGTAGGGATGTTTAGGTTTAGGGTTCAGGGTTTAGGGTCTGGGTTTAGGGTTTAGGGTTTAGGGTTCAGCGTTCAGGGTTCAGGGTTTAGGGTCTGGGTTTAAGGTCCAGGGTTTAGGGTTTAAGGTTTGAGGGCTTTAGGGGCCAGGAACAGTGGGGCTCCAAGCATTGAAGTAAAGCCTATGGTGTAAAGAACGCCTGGCTCTTCCGGGTCTACAGTAAGATAGGGAACGACACCTCTTTTGCTGATCTAAGGGAGGCTACATGGTTCCTTAATATGTCTGAAGTATGGGCCCTTGGGTTTCATGTGGTATATAAGAACCCTAAACCCTAAACCCTAAACCCTAAACCCTAAACCCTAAACCCTAAACCCTAAACCCTAAACCCTAAACCCTAAACCCTAAACCCTAAACCCTAAACCCTAAACCCTAAACCCTAAACCCTAAACCCTAAACCCTAAACCCTAAACCCTAAACCCTAAACCCTAAACCCTAAACCCTAAACCCTAAACCCAATTCTAAGGGAGCGTGTAACTGCCCTTTAATAAGTCCGCGGCCGTTTTGATCAGAATCCCTCTTTCCTTGGAAGATCGGGTTTTGGTTTTAGGGTTTAGGGTTTAGGGTTTAGGGTTTAGGGTTTAGGGTTTAGGGTTTAGGGTTTAGGGTTTAGGGTTGAGGGTTCAGGGTTCAGGGTTCAGGGTTCAGGGTTTGGGAATCTTAATCCCGAAGCCCTGGACCCGAAACCTCCACAGGCCCGGCATGAAGAAAGTGATACCGATCAGCTTCCGGCCATCGAAGTATGTGCCGTCCTGCTTGCGTGCTTGAAGATTTCTGGGCTTAAGGGTTGGGGTTCCTGGACCCTAACCCCTACACCCTAAACCCTAAACCCTAAACCCTAAACCCTAAACCCTAAACCCTAAACCCTAAACCCTAAACCCTAAACCCTAAATCCTGAAACCTAAGCCCCTTGGTGTTTCAGGAAGTGTGGTTTCCAAGTTCAGTGGCTGCCGGAGAAGCAGTGAGGTAAGGCTATGGGCTCCCAGTTCAAACGAGTAGGTCCCGAAGCCCCCAACCGCGAGCGGTTTGGGCCTTAGGGTTCAGAGTTCAGGGTTCAGGGTTCAGGTTTAGGGTTTAGGGTTTAGGGTTTAGGGTTTAGGGTTTAGGGTTTAGGGTGTCCTCTTAAACCCAAGAAGGGAAAACATAGAATGTCCTTCCAGGGCCTACCTCGTAACTATGCAGCTCAGCTTCAAAATCCTGCAGGCCATCCTAGGTTACCTTTAAGTTTAAGATTAGGAGATTCAGCGTACAGCTGCAGCTAGATATGGTCCCAGGTAAGGTTTAGGGTTTAGGGTTTAGGGTTTAGGGTTTAGGGTTTAGGGTTTAGGGTTTAGGGTTTAGGGTTTGGGGTTTGGGGTTTAGGGTTTAGGGTTTAGGGTTTGGGGTTTAGGGTTTAGGGTTTAGGGTAGAGGGTTTAGGGTTTAGGGATGAGGGTGTAGGGTTGAGAGGTGGGGAGGGTTCAGGTTTGTGTAGGGTTGAGGGTTTAGGGCTTGGGGTTCTAGATGCCTCCAAGCCAACGGCAGGCACGTGGATCGCGTGCAGATAGTTACCAAGGGGGGCAGCTTTTTCGTGACAGTCAAGGCACACGGCGTGGTGGGAGCAGCTAGTCTTTTGATTCAGGTAATGGTATCATATTTGAGGTTTTTGAGGTGGTTTGGTTGGCCACCAGTCCTTACATCCCCATATCCTTACGGTTCAGGACTTTAAGGCTTTCGGGTTTCAGGGTTGGAGGCGAGGCTGTGCGTTGGGACGTGAGACTTGGGTTTGGGACTCAGGTAGGAAAAGCAATTGAAAGCCCTAGGTTTTGCATTTTCGGGTTTTAGGGCTTTGAGGGTGAGTCTAGGGGATTTAGGGGTTTTAGGGGATTGAGGCTTGAGGTTTCAGGGGCTTCTGAACCCTGCATCATGGGTTCCCCTACTACCCCCCTCGATACAACCATCCCCTCGGGTTCCCCCCCATAGTTAAGGCTATGTAGGGAGAATCAAGCCTAATGAAGCGCTGTTTGAGTGGGAAACCTAGAAGGGGAGGGGGGTAGTAGAGAGGGGGGTAATCGGGTTTATCCTAAACCCTAAACCCTAAACCCTAAACCCTAAACCCTAAACCCTAAACCCTAAACCCTAAACCCTAAGCCCTAAACCCTAAACCCTAAACCCTAAACGCTAAACCCTAGACCCTGTGACAGGCTGTGGTGAAAGATGTCGCGCTGTCCGTGCCGCACTTCTTGGACTTCGGCCTCTGCCCGACCATGGAGCGTCGGCATCCCAGGGTTCGGGGTTCGGGGTTCAGGGTTCAAGGTTTAGGGTTTAGGGGTTTAGGGTTTAGGGTTGAGGGTTGAGGGTTTAAGGGGTTGAGGGTTTAGGGTTTAGGGTTCAAGGGGTTGGGTACCTCTAGAACCTTAAAGCTCAGGGAGCCCCTGGGAGTGGTGGGGAGTATTAGGGCCAGGGAGTTTTTGGTTACACACCATGGCTTGCAGGGTGCTTGAGTTTATACGGGTTGTGGGGCTAATGGGGGTGTTAGGGAGCTTGAGGGGTGGAAACCCTAAACCCCAAACCCTAAACCCCAAACCCTAAACCCCAAACCCTAAACCCCAAACCCCAAACCCTAAACCCTAAACCCCAAACCCTAAACCCCAAACCCCGAACCCCAGAAGGCTCATCTGGTTTGAGGGATCGGGGTTCAGCCCGAAGCCCTAAGAATGCATCCCGGACCCTGCAGTGGCCCTAAACCCTAAACCCTAAACCCTAAACCCTAAACCCTAAACCCTAAACCCTAAACCCTAAACCCTAAACCCTAAAGCCTAAACCCTAAACCCTAAACCCTAAACCCTAAACCCTAAACCCTAAAGGCCCTAAACCCTAAAGGCCCTAAACCCTAAAGGCCCTAAACCCTAAAGGCCCTAAACCCTAAAGGCCCTAAACCCTAAAGGCCCTAAACCCTAAAGGCCCTAAACCCTAAAGGCCCTAAACCCTAAAGGCCCTAAACCCTAAAGGCCCTAAACCCTAAAGGCCCTAAACCCTAAAGGCCCTAAACCCTAAACCCTCAACCCTCAACCCTAAACCCTAAGCCCCAAGCCCTAAACCCCAAGCCCTAACCCGAGACCCTAGACCCTGGACCCTAAACCCCACGCCCTGACCCCAAGCTCCTAAACTGTAAGCCTGAAGCTCCGCGCCCCGCATAGCCCCTCAAACCTTCGTTTAGGGTTTAGGGTTTAGGGTGCAGGGTTCAGGCTTGAGTTTGGAAGTCCTCGAATTCCTTCAGGCTAGCAGTGATCAAACGATGTTCCCGAACCCTAAGCCCTGCGAAGCCTAAACCCTCTGCAACGACGAAGCTGCACGTAACCATCTAAACCCAAACCCTAAGCCCTAAGCCCTAAGCCCTAAGCCCTAAGCCCGAAGCCCGAAGCCCTAAGCCCTAAGCCCTAAGCCCTAAGCCCTAAGCCCTAAGCCCTAAGCCCTAAGCCCTAAGCCCTAAGCCCTAAGCCCTAAGCCCTAAGCCCTAAGCGCTACACCCTAAACCCTAAACCCTAAACCCTAAACTGCAGGCTTCCCGGTATACCCTAAGGTCCCCCCAACGCCCCAGAACTCCAGAGTCGAGGTTCACAGCAGCAGATTGAGGTGTACAACACCGGCGCCTCGACTGCTTCGGGAAAAGGGAGGCTTCGGGTTCAGGGTTTAGGGTTCAGGGTTCAGGGTTTAGGGTTTAGGGTTTAGGGTCTAGGGTTTAGGGTTTAGGGTTTAGGGTCTAGGGCTTAGGGGTTAGGGTTTAGGGTTTAGGGATACCACTTTTAACATTAGCCTTTGCTCACATGCTCCAATACTCCAATACCCCTTCATTCGGAAATGTTCCTTAACATTAAATTGTAGTAGGGAGAATTTGCTTGGTAGCCCAGTGGGACCCTGTACCCTTTTCTTGGTTAGGGCTTCCCTTATAAAGTAATCCCCAAAAGGGTGTCCTTAGTACAAGATGGATACCTGGGCTAACAAGTTTGAGATTAAGGGAAAGGCTTCGTTGGCTGAATTCATCAAGGGAGCATAGCCATAAATCCCTCAACCCTCATTGGTTGTATACCCTAAGCCCTGAGCCCGAAACCCTAACCTCCAAACTCTAAACCTCGCTGCCCGAAAACTCAAAACCCGAAAGACTAGACCCTAAACCCTAAACCCTAAATCCTAAACCCTAAACCCGAAACCCGAAACCCTAAACCCTAAACCCTAATCCCTAAACCCTAAACCCTAAAACCCTAAACCCTAAACCCTAAACCCTAGCAGTTGAGGCACCCTCAAGGCCTCGATGAAGTGGCATGCCAGGCCAGTTCGGTGGCTGCGTTGGGTTTCTTTAAATATGGGGTCCTCTTAAGGGTTCGGGTTTAGGGTTTAGGGTTTAGGGTTTAGGGTTTAGGGTTTAGGGTTTAGGGTTTAGGGTTTAGGGTTTAGGGTTTAGGGTTTAGGGTTTAGGGTTTACCTTCAGGAAGGGAGGATTCATGGGGGGTAGGTACCTGGGGAACCTTCGGAAGCTTAGGGCGCCTGAGGGAGTAGTGGGAGTATGACGGAACCTGGGGTTAGATTTTTCCCCCAAGGGGTTTAGGGTTTAGGGTTGAGGGTTTAGGATTTAGGGTTTAGGGTTTAGGGTTTAGGGTTCAGGGCTTAGGGCTTAGGGTTTAGGGTTGAGGGTTTAGGATTTAGGGTTTAGGGCTTTTGTTGGAGTATTGGGCTCCTTCTACTCTAAGGTTGTGAACGTGTTTTTGTCAAGGGTGCTTTGGTGGCTGCTTAGGAGATTAGCTAATTAAGTAAGTATGTAAGCAAGCAAGTACGTGTTGTGTCTCTGTGTCCCGGTGTCTCTGTGTTTCTGTGTCTCTGTGTCTCTCTGTGAGTGTGTTTAGCGTGGTTTCAAAGTTTTTTTTACGGGTTGAAGGGTTTAGAGCGTTTTTGCATGTTTTGTGTAGGGCCTTGAAGAGGGTCTGAGGGCAACATGAAGTATACCATGTAGAGCAGCGTTTGCTGAGCGATTCGTGATTGTCAGGGTTTTAGGGTGGGGCTTGGTAGTGACCCTAAACCCTAGACCCTAAACCCTTAATTTGTACGGTTTGGCGCTCAGGATTTGTGGATGTGAGAATGCTTGAAGTCGTGGGGTTGAGGGCCCATAGGGTTCTGGGGTGTTGGTTTGGGGTTGACAGTTTT